CATATTGCTAGTTTTCTTGAAATTTGCGATACTTTTAAGGCTAATGGTGTTAGTAATGAGTCTGTTAGGCTTACATTATTTTCATTTTCTTTGCGTGATAAAGCCAAGAGTTGGCTTCAATCTTTTCCTGCAGGCCATTTTACCATATGGAATGTTTTGGTAGATAAATTCATAGCTAAATGTTTTCCTCCTTCAAAAACAACTAAGTTGAGAAATGACATTACTACTTTTGTTCAATTTGATAATGAGTCATTATATGAGGCATGGGAAAGATTTAAGGAATTGCTTAGGCAATGTCCAAATCATGGTTTACCTGTTTGGCTCCAAGTGCAGACTTTTTATAATGGTATGACTACTTCTAATCGTTCTATAATTGATGCAACTGCAGGGGGTAATCTTATGAATAAGACAGAGGAGGATGGTTATAAGCTGTTAGATGAAATGGCCTCTAATAGCTATCAATGGACTAATGATAGACCTACCAAAAAGGGAGTTGGTTTACATAATGTTGATGCTTTTACTTCTTTATCTGCTCAAATTTCTGCTTTGAATAAAAAGTTAGATAATTTAGGAGCATCAGCAATGAGTATTTCATCTAATAGTTGCTGTGAATTGTGTGGGCAATTTGGTCATGCTAGTGTTGAATGTCAAGTAGGTAATTCAGTTCAATCTTCTAATGAGCAAGCTAATTTTGTTTCTTCTGGTGGTAGGTCTAATTTTAATCCATACTCCAATACCTACAATCCAGGATGGAGGAGCCATCCTAATTTTTCATGGAGTAATAATCAAGTGAGAGCACCACCCGGTTTTCAACAACAAAATCAACAAGAAAAGAAGCCAAATTTGGAGGAGTTGGTGCACAAATTTGTTAGTAGTACAGAAGCACGGTTTCAAAATCAAGAAAGAAGGTTTCAAAATCAAGATGCTGCTATTCGGAATATAGAAACGCAACTTGGACAGATTGCTGATATGGTTTCTGGAAGGATTCAAGGGGGTTTGCCAAGCAATAGTGAAAAGAATCCAAGGGAGCAATTGAAGGCTATCACTTTGAGGAGTGGGAAAGAACTTAAAGAGGTAGGACAATCTAATGGGAAAGAAGAAGGTGTGGAAGCTAGTGAATCAAAGCAAGAGGAGGAGCCTAAAAGACTTTTTCATGATCCGAATGTCAAGCCTTATAAGCCGAAAATTCCTTTTCCCCAAAGATTTTTGCAAGCTAATTTAGACAAGCAGTTTTCTAAATTTTTAGAGGTGTTTAAAAAGTTACATATTAATATTCCTCTTATTGATGCTATTTCGCAGATGCCAAGCTATGCAAAATTCTTGAAGGAAATCCTTGCCAATAAAAGGAAGTTAGAGGAGTTCGAGATGGTGAAGTTAAATGAAGAATGCTCTGCTATTCTTCAGAATAAGTTACCTCCTAAGTTGAAGGATCCAGGGAGTTTTTCTATTCCTTGTATTATTGGTAATATTAATTTTGATAAGGCTTTGTGTGATTTGGGTGCTAGCATTAATTTGATGCCTTTTCATGTATTTAGGAAACTTGGATTAGGAGAACCTACACCTACCACAGTTTCTCTTCAATTGGCAGATAGGAGCATTAAATATCCAAGAGGAGTGGTAGAAGATGTTTTGGTAAAAGTTGACAAATTTATTTTTCCTGTTGATTTTATTGTTCTTGACATGGAAGAGGATTTTGAAATGCCTTTAATTCTTGGTAGACCATTCCTTGCTACTGGTAGATCGCTTATTGATGTTCAACAAGGGAAACTTAGCCTTAGAATACATGATGAGGAGATTGTTTTTAATGTGTTTGATGCTATGAAAAATTGTGATCGTGATGGTAGTGCTGTTTTAAGGATTGATGTGGTAGACACTGTAGTGGCTGAAAATTTTAATGCTTCTAGATTAGATGATCCTATTGATAATTGCATTGTTAATGCTTTGGATATGAAAGTTGATAATGCAACAATAACATTTTGGAGGCAGCAGCTATTCTTGGGGAAAAATGCCATAGGCAGCCACAAAAAGGAGGGAATTTTCTGCCCTTAGATGCACCGTCCACTGTGACAGTCAAGCCATCCAAAGAGGAGCCCCCTACTCTTGAATTAAAACCTCTTCCTTCTCAATTAAAGTATGTTTATTTGGGTGATTCAAATACCTTACCT